GCACAAAGGAACCAGTCCATTACGGAGATGGTAGACTATGCAAATGCTTGCCCCGAATTATGAGGTACAGTAGATTCCCGTTGTAGCACTCTCAAGGGGACCTAACAGAATTGAGCATTATAACCGCACGGTGCTATAACCGACTGGATGCACAAGCAACATGTGCAATGCACATGTGCAATAGTACGCGTATAGATACGTGTATCTACATGTACATGTATGTTATGTATATGAATTTTGTTTACATATGTACATGTATTGGCAGACGTATGCACTGTAATTTTGGGAGTATATGCCTTGTATCTGTTTATCTCGATGTTTTCTTGACACTGATAGAAAAAAACACCAAATCTCTTCAAAAACCACCACAGGACCTTGTGCATGCCGCATTGCAGCACACGCACTGCATCTACACCCACTGCGACATCCTGACTGCTACTGCTACTACCCAATGACCATATGACCACAGAAAGTGATATGTCATTAGAAAACCCAAGTGAAAACAACACCAACACAACACGATCAAAAACAACCGAACACAGTTGGCGAAAAGATGAGATTTGCTTCACGAAGATACACGTACAGTTAAAGTGGCTGATTTTATTTATCAGTAGAAAGACACCTTTTGGTAACAAAATACAACATGTAGTATCTCATTGTTGATTATTTGTGTCCCAAACTACACCACGAGAATAAATAAAAAGTAAGAAATAATCAATACAATGTTGTGCTCAAGCAAGTCTTGTTGATACTTAGAAAACCAAGAAGTGGTTATCTTAAGGTTCTGTGGGCCAAGGGAAAGTCGTTCTGCAAATCGTAGAGGTCTGATGGGTAATAGAGGTCTACTTCGAGTCGGTAACTGGTGTCTGACTTTAGAGACATTGACAGCACATGCTTGGTGGTAAACTTGTCTAGGTTTTTAACCCAGCAAAATCTGGGGTAAAGCAATGGTTGCAACATTGCGCACCCGTACAAGTTGTTGGCGTCTAGGTACAAGAGGTACATGTATGATGAGGGTTTCTCTGGATCGTACTTATTGTTGGCTTTAAAATACCAAGCGCTTCCCACACTCGAGATGCCACCCCTTGTAGCTCTCTCAAAAACAAGTGCATGTCAACGTCAGTTAGCAATTCTAACTCCACTTGGCTGCATTTTAACAAAGCATCCCGAGATAGACCGGGTGCTGTGCTGCAGCATGCTGTGTACTAGTTGGCTGGATCTAACCCATAGTTGTCTCAGTAGACCTTGCGGAAATTTTCAAACATGCCCACAAGTTACAGCGTGTCTGTTTCTACTTAGAGGTCAAACTAGTCGCCTAAGGTCTGACAGTTAAATGCATACCAAACTCGTTGGTCTTGCTCGCTGGGGGTTTCTTGTTTGAGGCTACTATGAGACTCAGATTGCGGTGGCAGTTGCATTTCTTTAAACTTTTTCAAACAATTCCATGCATTCGTAAGGATAAATGCCTTTTTGTAACAGAAGCTCTGTGTTGTTGGGAAAACAATCTTCTTTGAGTAGAAAAAGGTGTCTCAAGGGCAGGCTTTGACCGACTTGTCAAGCGAAATTGCCATAAAGTGAAATGTGTCTATAAATTGCAGTTGACCCAATAAAAAACTAGTAAACTTTTCAGAGTTTCTAGTGATACAAGACAGTTCACTTAGATAAAACCTAAAGGCACCTTGCATGATCGAGTGGGTGTCTAGTTTTCTAGATTGTAAAGTATTACCGGACTAGGTGTTTTTCTAGGTCTAATTTGGAGTTTGAGCTTGTAGTAAGTGTGGGCAGCACCTCTGAACTTACTTGTCACATGACAGTGATCTCTAATCTTTCTAAACTTGTTGATGGCCTTTTCACAACACATGTAGCGGTAGCCTTCACGGTCTTCAAAAGAAAGCTCTGCTTTATACACATTTCTTTTCTGTTCTTTGGATATTGGACATTGGCAGTTAGACTCCAGTTTTGGGGAGTTTTCTTTAGGACTGTGTCGGGAAATACTGGAGCTAAACCCCCCATTCCCCCCCTTCACTCCTCCCTCTCCCCTCCCCCTTCACTCCTCCCTCTCCCCTCCCCCTTCCCTCCCGTCCCCCTTTTCCTTCCCTCCTTCCCTTCCCCCCCCCTTTCAATGTTGTGAAAGGCTGTATGCACGCCAGTCCATGGGCGCCCACAGTGGGACCACCTCAGGACGAACAACATTGTGCGGGGGGGTGCATACACTCAAGTTACTGTAATAAACNAATACCAGAGGCCACTTTTTGGGTAACTCAGTTCCAATTAGTCTTCGTTTTATTTATTTTTTGTCCTCATTTCTGACTTGTTTCCATGCTTCATTTAGACCAGGGGGGGGATTTACGAAAATGGTATCATTGTGGTGATTGCAAAATTTTACAATAATGTACATGCAAGCAGAAATGCACAAAAATGAGGTGTTCCCCCAGAGCCAGTCTGTTTTGGGGGAAATGCTTAACAAAAAGTTGGCCTAAAATTGGCCATTACGTATTACATTGGGTTGAATTTCACTGAGATTGACTTAAAACGAATGGGCTAGCAGCATTGCCAAGTGTTAACAGTTTGTATAGTGAGTGTTACGAAATTACCAATAGAATGACTGTGGCCCCTAAGCCAAAAGCTATTGCTACAGTTTAATGCAAATGGTTGAGGGAAGCTATTTTTTCACATTAAATCCTTACAGATATAATTGTGGGGGGAATCGCGCTGTTATCTATACATGCATCTTTATCTTTAAGTAGAGAAATCAGTGTACATAACTCTTGGTTATTGACAGCAAATGCTTGTACAATTGCAGAACTTGATTGAATAACTTAGCCTTAATTATTGCGGGGGGAGAAGGGACTGCAGATGTTGAGGGGGCCTTAAGCTTATTTTTTGGGGGGGTAGGGAGTGAGATGATGGGTAACTTGCACGGTGGGGAAAATTTGATACCCATCATACATTTCAGGGTTACTAGAAAAGTTAGAAGTCAAGCTATAACAGGAAATCATTGTTTTAGTGTGTCTAGAACCAGCGAGTCCTACTACTCCTTGATGTCCCAGCAATCTTTGCCTTGATGCCCATTTAAATATTTGGGTGGGCCACAGGCATGGTGGAGACATGTAGAATTGATAAAACACTGACTTACTTTGGATTTTAGCCCTGCCGGACATGTATTACAACACTGTATACTCGGTGTTTGCCCCCGAAGGCTTGTAAGAAAACCCACAAGCGTACCCAGGTGGAACTTGAATCCACGATCTGATGCTTACCAGTGCAGATGGCTTAGCCACTCGACCACTGAGCTTGCCAGTGCCGGCTGGCTGGTTCGAGTCAGATGTAGCAGCAGGTACCACAAACAACTATTTCCAAGGATAGAAGGATGGAAAGCTCAGTGGTACCGGGCGCAAATCCATTCTTGAAAAACACTGACTGGTAATGATTCTTCCCCGAACCATTATAAAACGTTGTCTTTCTGAAAAGACGTAATTGTCCTACCGAGGGCTATTCAATAGCTGTATTCGCCGATGTTTGTTTAATAAATCTTGTTTTCAAGTGAAACATGCACATATTATCATTGACAACTGGCAAAACCAGGTGACGCGAAACGGGTTGACATTGGGTTGGGATTTATCTTTAGGGCTTACTGGGAAAGCCGGAGGACCTTCTTTGTCTTTTATATGTTTTGCAAGTTTGGTTGTTTTGTTGTGTGTTTCAGTAATGTCCATGGTTACTTCATCAAAGTTGGTTTTTCGTTCGAACAATATTTTTTCCCGTGCACTGTGAGTCGCTTCCTTGGACCGATCAAGTTTCTAACAGGAACTATGTCTTCTGGTCTGGAAAGTCGAGTCTGTCCTATGACGTCACAGACCCGTAGGCTGGGGGGGGTTCGAATGAACACCCCCCGCTTGCTTCGGAGTTCCGCTCGTTGGGGGTGGTTTGTTTGTTTGTTTTTCTAATAACAAATACATATTTTATTATACCGTAATTGTTGGAATACGAGCCGCTGCTTACACATTGATTCTCGCACTGAAAATGTCCCTGTGGCTTATACTCTGGGCGGCTTATATGGCAACATTTTAACAACCTTTTTTTCCGTTTTTTCTTTCCAAAGTTCAAATTTAACTCTACTAAATGTGCCCCAAAATATAAACTTTTTTTTACAATTTATGCTTAGGTAAGTGGGTGGAGGTAATAATTATTTACTACAATTTATCAATTTATAGAAAGTCTGAATTTTTGGGCTTGATTTTCTGAGATTTTTTTTTTAAATAATGTTCATGTCATTCGCTCGTCACCAAGTGCCTGATTCAAGGTGCTGGGTGACGCACAAATTCATACCTGCCGTGTCAATTTACGATTCGCTGTGGGTATTAAAAACTGAAGTATATGAGTCTTACATGCATCCTTTGGTTCATTTGCGACAAACATGCAACTTTTTCAAAAGCACATTATGATATGCCTTTGTGTACAAATATGTATTCACAGTGCCAAAAGTTCCACTTCTGGGTTGGACAAACCCCCCCACAGTCTCTGGTCAGGCAACGGGCCTGACGTGACATTTTTGCCAAGATTTATCTGCTGCCCTTATTGACTGATTTCGATACGCTTTTGCGAACAGCTCAGGTGGAGACTGAAAAAGGCATACAGAAAATGCCAAGTCATGCTGATTTAATGACATAAAAGAGGAAATAATCCTACTTATGGTTGAAAACGATCATATAACGTCAATTTACCCCACATGGCCCATCCTCTTTAATCCCATGTTATTCCTGTGAGACCTGGAGACAGATCTATAAGACACCTATATGCAGTTACGCCAGAATTGTGACCAATATATATATTAATTAATTGCCCAATAAGTTAGCAATCATACATATAGTCAAATGATCTAGTATACATGTAGCTGTAACAAGTGAACGTTTTTGTTCCAGTCCATTTCATTAAGTTTTTGTGCTCCTTTTTGGTCCATTCCTTTCCATTCCGATCTGTTTTTGTTTTCTTTTTTTCAGTAGCTGCTTGCATGTGGCAGAATGTATGGAATCCCTAGCTAGTCAAGTGGAGAGATACTTACTGACAGAATTGCACCAGTTCATTCCTCCGTTTCTTCAGATTTGCTCTGTTCAAGGAGTTTGCACTTTGTTTCAAGTCTTGCTTCACCTGGTTGGACATTTCTCTCAGGATTCTCATGTGGCAACAAGTTTGTTAGATGGGTGAGTTCCACAGTTCTTTGGCAATGTATTATTGTATGTTAGATTTTCTCTCATTTTATCATACTTATCATACCAAGAAAATACATCAAAACAATCAGTGCTAAGGAGAAAATGATTTTTTAAGAAAATTGTAGGACTTTTTTAATCTGCTCAATTCCAAAAGCATTAAGGCAAAGGGAAATTGAGCCTGGCTAGTAAGTGTAAAGAATAGAACAGGTGACCAGTACCTCTACAGAACCATTCCACCGCAAGAAAACAAATCTTATGGCCTAATCAACCTTCCGAAGAGATGCAACTACAGAATTGAAACTGACCAGAGGCCAAACACCAATAAGTTAACTCTATTTGACCAAGTTTGATGTTCTATTCATTTTGCAACAGTGAGCAATCCTAGCGCGCATGGCAGCCAATCCCATCCAAGGAAATTCAGTTCCAATTGTTTTAAAGTATGGCAATGTATCACAGCAACACAAACATGATCTGAAGGGGTAGATAAGTTCAGCAGGCTTGGGAAGGGGGCAAAGACGTTGTTTTAAAGGTCTTTGCCCAATCTGTCTCGGGCCATTTCATAGCAGTCGCAAATCTTTCAAATCTCATCAAGTAAGAATCCATTTCATCCTTCCCATCGCAAAATTGGGGTAACTTTGGGAATTTAGGACTAGGATGGTGAGCATCTGTATCGTTATCCTTACCTTCATGCATTATCTCTGCTTGTTTGAGCTCTAACTCTTTCATAGTTCTTTCATGATTGCGTTTTTTCTGTCTTTCTTCCCTCTCTAACGCTTCTCTTTCTCTACGCTCCGCAATTTCAAACTTCTTAGCCTCTCTTTCTTCTATCGCTCTTCTTTTCTTCATTTGCTCTTCGGGCTGCTGAACAAAACGCAACAGCTGCTCACCTTCCAAGTTGAGCTCCCTGCCTAACTCTAAAAGCTGTTCAAATTCCACGGCGCCCTGCACAATTTCGCCTGCGCGAAACAACCTATGAGTTATATTCAGGGAACACGACGGTCTACACTCGATACCACGATCATATGCGAAGGTACGTTTGTCACCGAGTACCAGAACAAGGAGGCAAGCTGTAACCAAGACTGTAGAGACAAAGTGTATTTTTACCACCATCCTACAACAAGTAAGCCAAAATAATACACGTATCCTGATTGGCTTTCACAAAAAACCATCATATTGTGAGACAGCGACCATAGGCAAAAAGATTCTCATCATCGTACGTTATTCGCACATATTCCTAAGTCGACTGAAAGGCTACATTTCTAGTTTTATGACCGAGTGTACTGGATAATTAAACCAAGTAGAGAAAACATATGCCTCTTCTAATTTAGTGCGAGAGGTCCTTTTCTTAACTTCAAAATTCAATGAAAACTAATTTATTTACAAATATACAAACCACAAAAACAATTGAATGAAGGGGGAGCAAAATGCAGAAGATCAACAGTTAAAAAAAAATGGGTTTCATAGAAACTAGAAGGCTGGTGGGCTGGTTAATAGTTACCACTAGCCCAAATTCGGACAGTTCAAAGGGAGAGTTGATCAATTGTCCGATGCGCCGCTGTTACATCACTCTCAGCCAATCCTCAGTGAGGATGATGCAGGTGAGTCGGGGCTGGACTTAGCAGACCAACAGGCAGGTAGGTAGCCGTGTCCCCCTCCGGCAGACTTGCTGTTCCTATCCAGCCAATGCATGACCTGGCTTGATCGTGTCTCGGTACTCAATAAGGTCCACTTATAGGAGCTCCGACTCCGTAATAAGGAGCCCTGAAATATTGAATAATCATACCCATGTTTGCTAATACACATGTACATCTTACGGCAAACATTTGTGCACCATTTGACCATATTACTAATTTTCCATACCTGAAAGGAGAAACTTCATTATTAAAACGGTCACTAAAATTGGCTTTTGAACTCCCCATTGTCACAGATATATAAAATAATAGCACTTACATATACTAGACAAAACATAATGGCTAAATATTAGAAAATAATTAAAAAGAACACTTACAGTATATACTGGCTCCTGAGGTCTTACAGCACACTGAAAATTGTCACAGCCTGCCCTTCCTCTTTAAACTTTTCTCCTGAAAATTTGGGGCAGCAAATCGCTCTCCCAACTTATGGCTACCGCCAACACTGGATTTTCAATCCACATTAACAAGGTTAAAAAGCTTAATGCAATTCTGGCTTCAGAGCTATCACTCAAACTTGTGCTATCGCATCACAGGCCTATCTGTGTGTGTCACACAGAACCACACCCCAGTATTTAAGGCACTATAAAACACTATTCAGGTCCCCATGCCTGGTGTGTACCCATGCAGGTGTGAACCATACAGGACCGCACCTGACTTTGCATAAAAGGGCATATAAGGAAATTTGGCCAACTTGGCAACATACAGTTTGTGTCTTTAAATTAATCAAACACTTGGCGTAAAATATCACTGAATTAAATTAAATTGATTGGATTTTTACTTTTGACTCCAGCTTCAAATACAGATATATTTACAGATTTAAATTTTCTAGACAAATTCATATTACTTACTCGATGTGAAATGAATAGGTCTGTTCAGTGATTAAAAAAGTATTGATTAAGTGGACAAATTGCCTAGCAGGTTATCAGTCTGTAGAAAGTGTATAATATCTGTGAGGAACCAATCTTCAGAGTATTATCCAATGATGCTGCAACCTTGGTTATGGGATGTCCAAAGTCAGTCTGAAAACATATAAAACAAAGTTAGTTTATTATTGTGTCTAGAGAAACTTCCCAAAATTTAATCTGAATATCTTTTGCTACATTTCAGTGAGAAAGACATATCATAGATAAGTTTCATATTTCGTGAACTAAACTATCAACAAAATTTTTGTTTGTAACGGCAACCCAACCCAGGAGGGGCCAACGGCCTGTTAAGGGGGACTAACTGAATTCATATTTACCTAATATATTTTAATGATTGTAACTCGAACAACAAATGAAAAACATAAGAGGATGAATTCTAAATTGAGTTTCAAAGCAATTAGAATTGCTACAAATTTAATAAGTGCTTCTTCACCAAACATGATTAAACCACAGGGGAGAGCAGGGTACATATAGTTTTAATAATATACATGCGAAAAGATAGTCACTGACAGAGCAAAGAATGTGCCAGTGGACAGGGGTTGACTACAGTGAAACAACAGCACTAGGTAGCAAAATTAAGGACAGGTTAAAAAAAAGGAAGTTGGAACATTCATTAAGACTGGGCAGGCCACTGAACTCTTTCAGAAAAAAATGGTGGTGGTGGTGGTGTAAAGCAACCAATTTAATACATTGCTAAAAACCAAGGCAAATTTACGGAACATGGAGAATTAAATCACACCACCATTTCTCAGTCATAAGTCCACACCTGATTGGCCTTACAGGCAGTTTTTATTGTCACAATGATGTAAGAGGAATGCTAATCTGGACTGTTTACAGAATCCACAGAATGTAATGAACTCAGGAAACAGTGCAGTTCTCAAAGCACATAGCCAGGCAAAAGTTCCAGAATGAGGAACAAAAGGTACATGAACAATGGATGCTCCACAGTACTGGGCCAAGACACAAATCTAACCAGGGGCATTTGAATGGCCTGGGCTGCAACATCTGGACAATTACCTCTTTCTGGCATGCCTGGTATGTACATAGCCAGAGCGCAACAGCACTTGCTACGCACCATCTGTTACACGAAACCCTTTTGTACCCCTAGCAATTTTTCCATATGAAGCAACAAATGGGACAGAGAGCACCCCTCCCACTTTTGTGTTGTCATTGTTTGACCGGAATCCCAGGAATTCTTTACAGACTTCTAGGGGGATGTATTAGGTAACAATAGTCTAGAGTGTGTATATGGATTGGACCAGTAAGGGGGGGGTACCCCTCCGTCCCATATCTTGCTGGGTATAAATTTGTCACTGGTAATGGTAATTGTGTTCTGAGATGTAGGAATTGAATATTCATGCATTTGTTGGTGTTTGGTAATGATCTCATAACAGCATCAAATTTAATGCTAGCGCAGTTGCTTCTATTATGCCGTGTGCCCTAAATGTGAGTAGGATTTGAAACTTTGCATAATGGAAGAGACATGAGAAATGGGTTTGCGAGTACACCATGGAATCAATCTCTTTTGAGCGAGGTGTTGTTCTTAAAAGAACCGGTGAGTGTTAACTTGACATTTCGGGCAGTGTGCTATGGCCGTCCTCAGGTGAGTGTGCCGGACTGAAGTGGATATCTGGTTATAAAGGTAATCCGGAAGCGGTGGAGCGTGGAATGGGATTCGCAGGTTGTGTGACTGCAGTGTGTGTGCTGCTGTGTGAAGGTCTTCTTCTTCTTTAGCTTTGATGTGTGTATTTCGATTTCCTAGTAAGTTTGGAATTTTGTGTGATTTACACTTTGATTATTATTTCTATACCATTGTACTTTTTATTGTTAATAGATATTGCAAGACCATTTCCAGCCCCTTGGGTGTTTTCATTTAGTGTATTTTAAGAATCATTTTCATTTCGTCTGTGTTTAGTTTTACGCCCTGTCTTGGCTGGCCACCATGGCTAGTCAGGCGGAGCCGGCTATTCAGGGGCAGTCAACCGTAGGGGCATCGGCTCCTACCAGGCCCATTGTTCCTGGTGACGAACCATTCAAGAACGTCTCCAGGAACAATGGTGTTACCTTCCGTGACTCTGTGTCTGTACAATCCTACATCGATTCGTTCAGTAATGTTCACCCGGTTAAAGATATTGTCTCTGCCTCTCGTATTTCTAACAGTCGCATCGCTATTTATCTCATCTCGAGGGAGGCCGCCATGGACTCGACCATGATGGTTCTTTCCTCGAGCTAACTCCCTTGATCCGTCCTACTACCCGAATCACTCTCTCAAACGTATACCCTGAAATCCCAAATTATGTTCTTGTCACTAATCTATCATCGTTCTGTAAAGTGGTTTCCCAGATCTGTCCCATTCTCCTGGGTTTCAAAAACA